AATAATTATTTTAATAATTAACATAGAACATTTTTCGAAATGATTGTTATTTATATTATGATACATTATTCATTTTTCACATTGTATAATTGAAATTTTTTATTTTTTTTTTATTAAGATTACATTTATAATATTATTATATTTTTCTATAAAAATATATATAAATTATTTATTATATTATAATATTCCCAATGTATGAAAAAAATAATTTCACGTATAACATTCTTTATTTGTAAACATTAAAATTATCATATAACCATATTGTACAATATCAGTATATCATTATTTGTATTATTAATATTTAATAAAATAAATTTTATTAATATAATTACAAAATGGTAATAAAATTAAACATATGATATAAAATAAGTGATATAAAATTTAATTTAATTTAATTTTAGTTCAAATTTTTATAATTTATATATTCAAAACATGGAATACAATTGTATTAAAATTAGATAAACACAAAATTAGATAATATATAAAAATAAACAACTAAAAAAAATATAATATAAATATACTTAAGACATTATATATAATTTGTAAAAAAAATTAAAATTAAAATTAAAATTAAAATTAGTATTTAATTAAAAGTTTCATACCCGAAATAAATTTTACTAATATGGCGGGAAAACATTTTCTGTGTAATTGGCTAGCATAGTAAAAGACGTTAATTTGACGTATGATTTCTTTTTTTGAAAATAATATATAAAAATTAAAAACTTTTTGAAAGTAAAAAATAATTTTTGGAATGTCGTTATATTAAAAATTGTTTTTATGATTTACCTGTAATAAAATTCTACTAAAAATACAAAGTTGTATCGGCAACAGAAATTTATACAAGTATAAAATCTCTATCTTTTGAGATTAAAACTATAAACTAATACCACAGTCAATAAATGACTAAACTTAATCAATTCTTGAATAGAATATCTTTTATGTTATTTTTTTTTGTTCACTAGGCAATTGAGTGATCGATCTTGCACAAAAAATATTATTTTTACCCTACGCTTTGTCTGAAGCTTGTACGGTAAATTGATGTCTATACGGTAAACTATCCATTTCCAAACGGCTAAAGTCACTTTCACGCTACAGACGCCGTTCCAAAAGACAATCAAAACTTAACGCAAAGCATTTTTATTATCATTTATAATCGATTAAACAATTAAAATTGCAAAGTTATAATTTGTAAGTTTCATGAAATAATAAAAATATTGTATTTATTTATTTATTTATTTATTTAAATATAGAATAAATAATTGTTATAATGAAAGATATATATATATATATATATATATATACACACACACACACAATTAAAGAACACA